TTCCGACCAGAGCTCGCCGCCGCGGTTCGGGCTCCAGCAGGTGCATTATCGGTTCGTTTGTATAGTGGTTATTACGTCAGCTTTACACGCTGAAGGCCGTGGGTTCGATCCCCACACGAACCATCCTTTTGCCGCTCAACCTTTCGTCGCTGCTTGCTGCTTTTTCTTTTGTTTTTTTTTGCTTCTGGCGCTTGTTTCGTTTCAAACAGCCTTGGTATTAGCTGGATTGGATGAATGGTATTTGAGACAAAGGCATGGAAAGGAGATAAAAGGCTATGATGAAGGAGAGAGGAAAGGACATGGTGTTTAGTCCTTGTAAATGCGTGTTCCCGGAACAGCGCAAAGAATAGCAGTGGTGATGGCAGTCAAGAGGATAGCACCAATAAACCAGCGAATGCTACGGGCTCTGACCATCCTAGTGGCAGTCATGTCCAGAGACATCCTAGTAGAGAACCAAGCTCTGCGCCAGCCACTCAGACCATCGCCACCAGCGCTTGCAAAGAAGGATCTCTTTTTACTCGAACGGCCACTGTCAAAGGTGTCCTTTGAGGCATGCTTGCCACCTCTGCTGTTATTGTTGACAGAGTCCTGGTTCTTTAGCGTAGGGGATTGGTATTTTCTCATGGCAGCCAGAAGCAGATCACAGCCACCAAAACCAACAGACATGTTCCACCAGCCGATTAACAGAGGTAGAAGACTCCAGACTCTCGTGGCTTTAGGCTCATGGTCCAGAAGAATCAGGGCCAAGGGGAGAGCGAACCCAAGCCAAAGGAAAAAGAACCCAATAAACACCCTGAGGATACAGTGGTCTCTGGTAACATTGCGCGAAGTAGCATCGCCCAAGAAGATGGGGAAATAGTAGGTGTCCAAGATATCGTACGCATACATCAGTGCTTCGGAGAACAGCTTAGAGTCCAGGGCAGCTCCATCGTGCAGCAGCTTCTGCTCAATGTCTGTTAGGATCTCTGGTGGCCAAGGCATGTGGTAATATAGATGGTTGCGGCGTTGGCTGGTGAATACGCCTCCATTCATACTGCCGCTTAGATTGCTTGTCATCGTGGTTCTAATGCCTTGATGCAGGCGCAATAGGTGCGGTTGCTGGTGATGGTGGTGGTCACCTGGCTGCTGACGTATTCCAGAGTGTGATCCATCCAGGGTAATGGGCTGGTTTAGATGCTCTCTGGACATAGTCAGCGAAGTGGGCGATCCCAGCACGCCGACATTATTGTTGTATTCGCTGCCAGCACCAGAAATACGTCCGCCATCGCTATGCTTCTCGGCGTTAGGCGGTGGAATGACTGCGGGAACCCCGCTGCCTACACCGTAGATAGAGTCCGTAGCAGCAACTCCGTATCCTTGGTGATAGGGGTCATCTAAAGTAGGACGTAGCGAGCTCTGAGGTAGATGCAATCCTTTGTAGTTTCTGCTACCATTGCTGCCGTTGGAAGCCTTTTGAGTAAGCATGCGTTTTAGCGAGCTTACGCCAAGGCTACCGCCGTTATTATTGCCAACTGCTGTCTTGCTAGTTCCACCGCCAGCAACGTTTCTAGTGTTCCAGTAGGAGGGGCTTCCACCTTGCAAAAGGTTAGGGTCAAGGGCAGCTCTAAAGTATCTCAAAAAGATAGTCTCGGCTGCAGTTTGAATTTGCAGTGCCATGCGAGTGCTCTGTCTATGGCTCCTTTTAAATCCATTGTCGCCACCAAACTGAGCATGCGGGTCAACATTATCGCTGTCCTCTGGGTACAGAATATCATCGTCATTATCGTTTCTGCCGCCGCGAGACAAAGATTCAATCGTAGCATTATGAGCCACGTTGCGTCTTTGGGTATCCGACAAGCCATCCAGCTGGCTGGTAAACTTGCTCTTCCTATTGTCATCCATGCCCTTGTAAAGGGAGCCAGGTATGCCAGAGTTAAACTTATCCTGAGGCAGCACTCTGCTATCGGTGCTAGCGTACTGGCTACGGGCCTTAGCATGTCTCAGATCGCTCTCATACGCCAAGCACATCTTTTCATGCGTGCGGGCTGCCATGTAGAACTCCAGCCATCTTCTAGCCTGGGGCTGGCGTACCGAGCAGTGAACAGCAAAGTCCCTCAAGGCCAACGGTGCTCTAGTCTTGCGTGTCAGCACCTGGTCCAGAGTGGGTAGTCCTCCATTGCGCAGGTTGTGATCCTGGATATATGCCCAGTCCAAAGGTGTCTGCTTCTCATTGATGCCAATACCTGCGGTAAAGCTGTTAACCCCACCGCCGGATTTTTCGCTAAATATCTGATGTATGCCGTTGGTATTGCCCGTGGCATTAGATGAAGATGCCAAGAAGCTAGCCGATATCCCGCTAATATGTCTAGAGCCGAGTTTCTCGCCATTCGTGATATTGCCAGCATTACCACCAAGAAAAGCGCTTTTACTGCCTGCACCGCTAGAACTAGCTGTAATGGGGGTAGTCAATGTAGCGATACTACCGATAGCATTGATGTTACCACTGGGCATCAACAGGCGTTCTTCTCTTTCGAGTTCATCGATATTTAAAGGGTCACGCACACCAGAGGGCAGGTTGGCGGACATGCGTTGCCACTGCTGAGAACCAAAGAACGTCGTTAGAGGCGCACGGTCTTCGTCTTCAGACGACCTAACCGAGAGTGACCTATATCCATCGCTTTCAGACCTACCACGTGCTGCTGTATGCCGGTCAAATGCTGTAACATCGTTTGTGCTATAGCTAGCAGCCATATGCGGCTGCCTGGTGTTTGGGAAATAACTGGGCAATGGTACATGAAAGTCCGAGATGCTGGAGGAACGGAGATTGTAAGCCTTCGAGTCTGGGTCGTATTTGGGGTCTTGGCTTAGACCGCCTTGTTCAAATGGCGAAGACCCAGGAGGTTTGCTGCTGTTGTTGTTGCTGTTCATGATCTCTTCAAGCTGATAAGGAGGGGAAAGCGGCAAGTAAAAAGAAGGTCGTTAAGATAGAGTTGCTGTTGTTTGTTAGCGTTTAGCGTGTCGAGATGTCTGAGAGCCAATAGGAGGGATAAAAGGTCAATAAAAGGTGTTTGGTAATAGTGCGCGTCAAGCGAGAATAGAAGAGAGAGAGGTGGAAATGATATGAAAAAGCGAAAGTATAAGAGAGAATAGCGGGCCTCCAAGAATGGTGTTGATTAAAGATAGACTCCAACAGCAAACATTACAAGGAGAGAGTGAGAGAGGAAGAAGGGGGAGGAAGGGAAAGAGTGCAAATGAAGAGGGAGGGGGAAAAGGCAGAAGAGAGAGAGAAGAGAAGAGGAGGAAGCTCTAACTTTCAATTCAGAAAGCCACATGTTTTGCTCTGCCTTTGTTCGGTCTTTGTTGGCCGGTCTATTCAAGGTGTGAAGACAAAGCAGGCTGGAAAATGGGGAATAATCGCCGGGGCCGCTGATTGGTTGCGGTCGATAAATTGGAAAAAAGAAGTAAAAACAACAAAGCGCTCATCGTTTACGTCTTTTTGCATGCTGCGAAGGATCAGCGGCTCAGCAAGCTTGTCTCGTCAGGCAACGCAAATAGTGCTGCAGAAACGG